ACTAGCAGCCTGTGGCGAGCTGTGCTGCACGCTGCCATATGGTGGCCTGCAAAGGCAGGGAGGGAGGGAGGGAGAATGGGAGGGAAGGAATAGGCAATTTTTGGAGTTGCAGGATGTGAAGGCGAGGTGGAGACGTTGACATGTGATGCGGAAGGCTTATCGAATCAAATTGACAAGGATAGGGATAACAGGATAGAGCATGGGGCATAGGCGCATGGGGCATAGGGGATAGGAAAAAGAGCGTAGGATTAAGGGCATAGGACATAGGAGATAGGAGGTAAGACACATGGCGGAGTGGATAAAAGGTAGGGCATGGGGGATTGGGAATTGGGGATTGGGTAGGAAATTGCAGGGGATCAGGTATCGATTAGGTATAGGATGGCATTAGGAATCGAAATCTGGGGATAGGAGATAAAAGAGGATAAGGGAGAGGCTGTCCTAGTCAACGAACAGGAGCTAGGTAGGGGCAGATATGTTCCTAGGTGGACAATTTATAAAAGTTACACGGATTAAACCTTATGGAACATTACTTGTACGTTGTGTTCGTAGATGTATGGACCGAGAAAAAAAACACACACAATATTATGTATGCACTGACCTATGAGAGGAAGCAGAGTTGTCACCTGTGCATCTCTGGCCCTCCACGTGACATCCCATGCCCTTTTCAGATCCTGGGAGAAGGGAAATGGACGGTGGAGATTACAATCAGAAGGGGAGGACGTGGATGAGGAGAGACCACCAAAGAGGCTATGAACGTTGAGAACATGACTTTAGTAGTGAGCAAGTGTGAGGGACCTGGGAGGTGAGTGCGAGGGAACTGGGAGGTGTGTGCGAGGGAGCGGTGGAGGGTGATGACCATACATGATTGAGGAACAGCGACTATTAGGCTGTGGTGAGCTGTGCTACACGTTGCCATGTGGTGGGCTGCACCGGCAGACAGAGGAGGGGAGTCGGGGCGAGGTGAGAGTGTCAATGGGAGTTGTTGTTGGCCCCGTCCTCGCTAAGGCGGAGCCGACTTCGTGGTTGGGTGTATGGGAGGTACAACCGACTTGCAGCAGTGGGCGACGCCGACTTGGGCAAGCTGGTCGACGGGGTTGGTCGACTTGCACGGGGCCACTGCAATGCCGCCGACTTGGGAAGCCGACGGCCGACTTCAACTGGTGGTCGGCGATGTGGCGCATCGACCTGGAAGTCGGCGCCGACTTGCAAGGTCGCCGACTTGGGAGGTCGCCGACTTTAAGAGGTCGATCTAGAAGTCGGCGCCGACTTGCAAGGTCGTCGACTTGCGAGGTCGCCGACTTGGAAGGTTGCCGACTTCAAGAGGTCGACCTGGAAGTCGGCGCCGACTTGCAAGGTCGCCGACTTGCGAGATCGCTGACTTGCAAGGTTGCCGACTTGGGAGATCGCCGACTTCAAGAGGTCGGCCTGGAAGTCGGCGCCGACTTGGTGACGCCGACTTCGGCTAGCCGACTTGGGTGGTCGGCTGACGAGTGTGCTGGTCGACATGGAGCTGGTCGACCAGGAGTGACGTCGACCTGGAGCTGGTCGACCAAGGGTGTGGCTGACCTGGTGAGGCCGACTTGGAGTGGTCGTCGACTTGGGAGGTTGACGGGCACATACAGGAGCAGCTGGTCGACGTGGTTGCCCGGTCGACCAAGTTACCTGGGTGACGAGGCTCTGCGGAAGAGTGCGACGGTCGCCCAAGCGATGTTGGCGAGGCTGACCTCGGGGGTGGTATCCCGAGGTCGACGTGGCAGATCAGGTGGAGTCATTAGCACGAGGATGACATGGTGTGTGCGTTGTGCAGGTGACAAGGCTTAGCCCGCCAATCATCTGCGAGCACCTACGAAGTAGGTGCGCTGCTGTTCTGCGGGAGCAACGCTGGCAAGCCATCAACCTGCAGCGTTGGCACGCCGTCGACTTTGCACCACTGGAGCGCGGTCGACCAAGTCGTGCTGGAATGCGGTCGACCATGCTGCGCTGGCAGTCGATCGACCTGAATGCTAGCTTTGATGTAGTCTTTTCTTCCCAACTTCATTGTACCATTATTGTCAACTTTCTCTAGTGAAACTCTTGCCAACTTGCTCCGTGAACTAGCAAGCAGTGTGTGCACTAGGAAAACGACTAAGGACGAACGAACGCAGAGATCACATGAGCACCCGTACTCAGCCCGTAGTCTAGCTCCCGTTGTAATGGTTATCTCCGCAGAGAGGGCAATGGAGGGAGGCGATGAGAAGGGGGGCTAGCAGATGTGGCAAGGCGAGTTGTGCTGTGCGCTTATGTGTGTGTACCCCACAGGCCACTAGCATGCAGGTAGGGAAACCGAGGGAGGGGAGAGGGAAGGATGGGAGAAGAGGGAAGAACGGGAAGGAAACGGGGGGGGAAGAGAGAAGAGAAAGGGAAAACGGCGGAGGGGGAGGTTGGAGGTGGGGAGGGGGGGAGAGAATTTGAGGGAATGAAGGGGGTTGTTGGATCTGCAGCGTGAAGGTGACGTGATGTGATGATGAGGATAAGGGATTGACGGGGATAGGGGTGAGGCGATAGGCCATAGGGCATAAGGATATAGGGCAGAGGGGATATGGCACAGGGTCATGAGGCACAGGGGATAGGGTATACTCACATAGGGCATAAGAGATTTTGTAGTCGACCAAAAAAAGGGAATAGGGCATAGGCATATAGGACCTGCGTGTAGAGCTGCACGTCCACCAGCTCCTGCTGCTCGCGTGGCCTTTTGATTCACCAGCTCCTGCTGCTCGCGTGGCCTTTTGATCCACCAGCTCCTGTTGCTCGCGTGGCCTTTTGATCCTGTCATGTGGATGAACGCAAGGGACAGACGTAGAGAAGTAAAAGGCACCATAAAGGGGATATGCTAAAGAGTCAGTGAGCCTGCGCGCCAAGCTCCACGTCCATCAGTTGCTGCTGCGCGCGTGGCTTTTCTATCTTGTCATAGGAATGTCATACGTGAAGCGAAGAGCACCATAACGGGGATAAGCTCAAATGTTAGCAGCAGATGGCGGCGCACCGCAGAGAGGTCCCACGTTCTCCAGCACTTGCTGCGAGCGAGGCCTCTTGTGACTGTAACGGGGCTAACAACATGCTTATTGTACGAGGTCTCATCATAGCCTGCTGCTTGGATGGAAGGAACTTGTCTGATTCCGAAGCATGTAATGAATTCGACTCAAAGCGAAGACAACTAAGCCTACAAACACGATTTGCGAAAACAAGTTCGGCCTCCTAGCCTCTCAAAATTGAGGTGACTTTAAGATCGACTCAAAGGTCACCTAGCTGGTTGAGGGTGGATATTGAGCTTCCTCATATTCCCAAGATGAGCCATGAGCTTCAAAGTCAATGGATATTGAGTCGAAGGGTCTACATCTAGATGCCGAACAAAAGCACGTACTGAACAGTATTGGACGCTCATGCACTCACGCTACTCGTTCACGAACTAAGGGAGTGGGTTAGAGCATCTCACTTTGAGACGCCACTCGCGATGTCTCGCTTTTGTGCTTTTGTGTAATGCTCGGTACGAGCCGGTGCGACTTGGTGCCACTCGGTACCACTTGGTGCCATTCGGTGCGACTCAGTGCGACTCGGAGCCACTCAAAGGATACGTGAAAGCTTTCCATTGAAGCTAAGCGGAGTAGAAAGGAGTGCCACACCAGCTCCACCGCACGTCGAGACGGAACGAACCGCAAGAGCTGCCCACCCCTGAAGCAACCAGGAATCGCGACACGAAGCCCTTGATACATCTGAAGCATTGGGAATGCTGATAGAAGCCATCACCGCTCGCGGCGTTACGGCTGTTGCTGCCGTTTCGGGACAAATGGCTGAGATGAGAAATGGGGATATGGTGCTAGTAGGAACGCGGCATGAGTACAATCAGGAGAAGAGGGATTGGCAAAAAGTTCTAAGGAGATGTATCGCCGCTAAAACTTAAGACATTTGTGAAAAAAAATGATTACCATACCTCCGGGAATTGCGGGGAGGGTTTAACAGATAATTAACCGCGTTACTAACCGAACCGCTAAGAAAGGGACCAGAAGAACATGAACAATGTTGATTACTCGTATGCCCTTGCTATGTTGATAACTTGCAGAAGGATCGGCTTTCGTTGAAGGTGGGTTACACGACGTTTTCGTGTGATATTTTTCGCTCCTCAAAGTTTGTGGAAAGAGAACTTGTAAATATCGCTCAACGTTTTGTACCGAAGCCAATCCAGGTGAACCGAAACTAGGACGGAAAAGTTAGTACGTAAACAAGCTCCAAACGGATTTTTCAGGCCGATAGGTGGCTTTTGCAGGCCAGTTTTTTCCTGTTTCTGTTCCAGTCGCTCTAGACTAGATACACGTAAGGACACCATCTGGTCGCATGCGGCTCGTCTGTCTTGTGCAAAGCGCGCGAGGCGCACGCGATCGCTCGTGTGACGACGCGATCCGTCGCGCACCGCCGCGGACCGACGCGATCCGTCGCACACCGCCGCCGACGCGGACTAAAGCGCCGATGGGCAAAATTCTGCAGCATTTCCCGCGGCAGCGGAAGCGGGGAGGGCAGCGGGGATGGTGGGGCTAGCCGCGGCTTGGGATAAGGAGATGCTTTTGTGATCGAGAACGGATTCGAGATCCTTCCGCGTGAGGTGTGTAGAAGGGGAAACAGGAAAGGAGAGGGAATTGGGGAAAGGGTGGGGGAGCGTTGGGTGGGGCAAACAGAGCGTGGGGTGTGTACGTCGAGTTTGAAGCAGAAACTGGAAAAAATCTTGGTTCTTGTCGAGGCAGGATCAATTGTTTTGAGCCGTCTCAAAACACTTCTTCAAACACGCAAACAGAGGCGTGAGGTGTGTGCGTCGAGATTGAAGGGGAATCTGGAAAAACTTGGTTTTTGTTGAGGCAGGATTGATAACTGAATGTGGTACCCCCTCCACCACCACCCCTCCTCCCCGCTCCCTCCCCCCCATCCCCCCTCCCTCCCTCTGCGTGCCCCATCCGCCTTTTTGAGTCATCCAGAACGACGTCTCGGAAGTTCTCTCCTCCCCTCCCCACCATCCCTTTTCAGGCACCTCATCAGCCACCCCCTCCTCCCCCCTCCCTTCCCCTCCTCCCCCCTCCCTTCCCCTCCTCCCCCCTCCCTTCCCCTCCTCCCCTCTTCGTGCCACCTCCTTTTTTTGAGTCCTCCCACCACCCCTTCCCCCCCTACCACCCATTCCCTCTTTTCACCCCTTCTCCCCCCCCCCCCCCCACCCCTTCCCCCTGACCACCCCTTCCCCCCGACCACCCCTCCCCAACCCCCACCACCCCTCCCCACCTCCCACCCCCCCCCCCCTCGCCCAATGTGGCGTCTGGTTCCCCATTGGCCCATCGGAGCAAGTGTGGTTGTATACCTCCAACGTCAATGGCGCCGTGCCGTGCCAACCTCCCTGTTGGACCACCTAGTCAGCGCTGACGTGGATAGCAAGCTTGCCACGCTGGTAGAAGGCAATGCCACGCTGGGAGTTCAGTTGCTTGCTCTTCCCCTTGTATAGCGACTTCCCACACGTGCTCACCTTCTGCAGTCATACTTTTGATTGAGATAGCGACTTTTCAAACAGTCCTTTGATTTGTTCTGGCATTTTTTTCTGCACCCACTTCCTTGTGCGCGGCATTCTAAAAAGAATATGACCCACGTGGGTTCCTTTTCTTACAACTTTCTGGCACACTTTTATTGACTGGCTTGACATGATTGACGTTACTGGCTTGACTTGATTGACTTGACTTGACTCTTTTCTTCGATTGACATTATTGACTTCACCACTTTCCTTTTCCACTGACTTGCTTGACTAGCTTCATATCTTCACTCTCATCTCTTCCTCTCTCTCTCCCTGCTAACCCCCCTCACCACTCCCCCACACGCGCCGTTCCATTCCACGTCTTCTCCCCTTCCCCAGACCCCTTCTTCTCACCTCCTGCTCTTCCCCTCTAGTCAACGCTAAGATTGCCTTGCCGCCACCACTCCTCTGCTACCGCCCAAATCCTTACTCGCCTTGGCAGCAACCATGGGGAGGAGAGGGCTCAATGGTATGTGCTGCGGGGGAGCATAGTGGGAAAGAAGATACTGCAGGTGAGGAGAGAAGGGGTAGGAGGGGACATGGGAAATGTGGAGGAGGGGTGGGGAGGGAGGGTGGGGGGGGGGGGGGGGGGGGGGGGGGGGGGATGAAAGAGGCAAGAGCTGTCAAGCGGAGTCTCCAGCTTGGCTTGCCAACAGGAGAGGTGAGTTGGATAAGATGTCCAAGGAGCGATGGCAGGGTATATTTGAGCCAACTCAAAAGTCACCAAGAGCTAGGAGAGGTGAGTTGGAAAAGATGTCCTGGGAGCGATGGCAAGGTGAATTTTGAGTCGACTCAAAAGTCACCAAGAGTTGGGAGAGGTGAGTTGGAAAAGATGTCCTGGGAGCGATGGCAGGTTGTTTTTGAGTCGACTCAAAAGTCACCAAGAGCTGGGAGAGGTGAGTTTGATAAGCTGTCATGGGAGCGATGGCAGGGTGACTTTTGAGTCGACTCGAAAGTCACCAAGAGTTGGGAGAGGTGAGTTGGAAAAGATGTCCTGGGAGCGATGGCAGGTTGTTTTTGAGTCAACTCAAAAGTCACCAAGAGCTGGGAGAGGTGAGTTTGATAAGCTGTCATGGGAGCGATGGCAGGGTGACTTTTGAGTCGACTCAAAAGTCACCAAGAGTTGGGAGAGGTGAGTTGGAAAAGATGTCCTGGGAGCGATGGCAGGTTGTTTTTGAGTCGACTCAAAAGTCACCAAGAGCTGGGAGAGGTGAGTTTGATAAGATGTCATGGGAGCGATGGCATGGCTCTTTTTCCTTTTTAGTTGTTTTTATTGAAATACACTAGAACATACATATACGATACACCCACACTCATAACTGAGTGATGACAAGAATTGTTGTGAGTGAGTGGTACAGAGTGAGTGGTACAGTACGGTGCTGCTGTGCGAGGGAGTTCTGTGGGAACTCCCACCTCCTCTCTCCTTTTTTCCCTCCTTTCACTTACTGATGGCTGCCCCGCTTTCCCAAGCTCCCAGCTTACCACGTGTCCCCTCCACCCAGCTCACTGCCTTAGCAGCTTTACCGTCACACTTGCTCCGCCCTACTGACTACTGACCATATCACATTTTCTCGCTCCCACTCCTCCGTCCCTGCTTACCCGTGTCTCCTCCCCCCCCCCCCCCCCCCCCCCCGGCTCACTGCCTTAGCAGCTTTACCTGCACACTTGCTCCTCCTTGCTTATTTTTCACCATTCACACTGCTCACTCCCACTCCCATCTCCCTGCTTACCCGTGTCCCCACTCCCATCTCCCTGCTTACTCGTATCCCCACTCTCATCTCCCAGCTTACACGTGTCCCCACTCCCATCTCCCTGCCTACACGTGTCCCCACTCCCATCTCCCTGCTTACACGTGTCCCCACTCCCATCTCCCTGCTTACACGTGTGCGTGTCCTAGTAACTGGGTCTCACTCATAACTCAGTGTTCAAGGGTCCCAGTAACTGGGTCTCACTGATAACTCAGTGTTCAAGGGTCCCAGTAACTGGGTCTCACTGATAACTCAGTGTTCAAGGGTCCCAGTAACTGGGTCTCACTGATAACTCAGTGTTCAAGGGTCCCAGTAACTGGGTCTCGCTGATAACTCCCAAACCCCCCTCCTCCCCCACAACCACCCCGTTCCGTACATACGAACATCCCCACCACAGCTCACAGCACTCAACAGTGGTAACTGGGACACCCTTCCTGATACCGCGCTGTGAGCTCACAATTGCCTTGCTGACTTACTGATACCGCGCTGCGCTCCAACATAACACATTAATAACTCCCAAATCCCCCTCCTCCCCCACCACCACCCCCTTTCATATATATGCGCGTACCCATGCCAGCTCACATCACTCAACAGTGGTAACTGTATGGGGTACCCCCTCCGCCCTGCCCTTTCTTCTCTCCCAAAAACGCACAAGAGGGGTTTTCTTTGCGGATGAACAAGAGGGGTGGGAGCTGCAGGGGACATACTAGTAGCAATAGTAGAAGCAGCCAATGATGAGCTGCCACGTGGCAGCTCGATCCATGAACCATGCCCACGTGCTCACCCTGTTATCCGACAATGATAACTGCAGCACTGGCAAGGATGCTGGTTGTGGCCATAGCGTCTACTCTCACTGGCACGAGGGTTCTAGAGTATTCCACCGCTTCCAACCAACTGGCAAGAGAGTTCTGGAGAATTCCACCGCTCTCAACCAACTGGCAAGAGAATTCTGGAGAAATCCACCGCTCTCAACCCACTGGCGAGGGTCAAGAGCTGAGCGTCTGCTCTCACTCTCATTACCAGCTCCTCTGGATGTAGCGAAACATGTGCAGTAGGTTTTCTTGAAGCGCATCAAAAGCACCTTTGCACATGTGTGTGTGTGTGCGTGTGTGTGTGTGTGTGTGCATGTGTGTGTGTGTGGGGGGGGGGGGGGGTGTGGGTGTGTGTGTGTGTGAGAAGGTGCGGGCGCGCGGGTGTGTGCGCGCGCGCGTGTGTGTGTGTGTGTGTGCGTGTATGTGCGTGTGAGTGCGCGCGTGCGCGCGTGCGTGCGTGCGTGTGTGTGTATGTGCGTATGTGTGTCACTCACCTCTCGGTCCCCGTACTCCCGTCCTTACCTTCTCGCAATCCCCTTGGTTTGATGCAAGCGTTCGCTCTGCATTGGATGAAGTGGTGGTCAGAGAGGGTAGGAACAGGAAGGAGGGGAATTGAAGGTGAGAGGGAGCGAGTCAAATGAAAAGAACAGCAAGAGGGATGTTTCGGAACATCAACAACGGTAGAAGAAGGCGCTACAACAGCTTGTCAAAATATGTTCACATATTTTATATAATCGTTTGCAGTTGTAGTGTAGTTATTGCATCATGTTTGGTGGTGCACCTCTTTGTGTTGCTGTTTGCCTATTTGTACTCTCATTTCTCATTAGTGAACCCCTCTTTTGGCTTGCTATTTCCTCTCGTCACCCTCACCTAGTTCAAACCCTAAGCTACTATGCTCCTAATCTTAACATGGTATTAAGAGCTAGGTCGTCCTAAGACCTAACCTTTTCATTCTCAATGGGCCCACCGCGTATTTCTCGGTTTGTGGCGCCCGTCGTGCCCTTAGTTGCGACTGACGTGACGGGCGCGACGGCGAACTGTCTGCTGCTGCCCGTAACCTGCCCGTCTCCTGCTTGTCGCACTGCATCGTCGACCCTGCTGTCATGGCGACGAGCTGGGCGGCTCGGGTCGCCCCGTTGTTTCTTCGCCCTGTCACCCGCCCCGCGCTACCCGCCCCGTTACGAGCTGCCACAGCCACGCGCAGCTGCGCAAAGCTACGTACGGGCACGTGAAGCCGCGCACAGCCGCGCACAGCCGCGTATGGCCGCGCACAACTGCGCCGCTCCCCTGCCCCGCACGTGCTGCTCGTATGCCAGTGAAAGGGGGCAGGGGGAGTGTGAGGGGGCAGCGAGAGAGATTCTGCAAAGCCAGCAGCCTCCACTCCTCTCTCTCTCACTACCGCTCGTGCTGCTGTGGGGGGGAGGGTAATAGAGGGTGGCGGAAGTCAGTCAGGAAATTGCAGCTGCCACCCGCTGCTACCGTGGCACCTCCTGCTGCCGCCCCTGCCTCCACCTGCCCTTGTTTCTGTTGACTGCTGCTGGGGCCTGCAGGTGCTGCCGTCGAGCCGCTGCTGTCCTGCTGCACGTTGCAGCCACAGAGCCTGCTCCTCAGGCGACCTGCCGCCCCTACACCTGCTACTGCTTCTACTTTGGCTGAGGGCGTGCTACAGCTGTATTTGTCACTCCTGCACCGGCTACTACTGCTCTTGCCTGCTTCTGCTTCTTCCGCTGCACTCTTGGTGTACCCCATCAGGGGGCGTTTTACACTTACTCCTGCAAACAATTATGGGGGCGTGTCAAAATATGTTCACATATTTTATATAATCGTTTGCAGTTGTAGTGTAGTTATTGCATCATGTTTGGTGGTGCACCTCTTTGTGTTGCTGTTTGCCTATTTGTACTCTCATTTCTCATTAGTGAACCCCTCTTTTGGCTTGCTATTTCCTCTCGTCACCCTCACCTAGTTCAAACCCTAAGCTACTATGCTCCTAATCTTAACACAGCTGAAGTAGCATCATCTAGTATACAATGTGCACAACAGGTGGCTTTCTATACGTATTTTGTAAACTATAATGCTGCTTATGTTGTGTAGGTTGTAGTGGGGTAGCCT